GCCCCTCAGCGCGGGCACCGCAGGAGGGGGATGTCCCCGTCCCTGTCCTTCCCGCCGCAAGGCAGGGTTCGTGTGTGGCTGAGTGCGTTTGTGCTCACTTTCATTTACTGTCTCCAGGTCTGGGCTCCTCAGTGCAAGAAAGACAAGGAGCTACTGGAGAGGGTCCAGCGGAGGTCACAAAGACGATGTGGGGTCGGGAGCATCTCGCATATGAGAAGGTGCTGTGGGAGCTGGGCCTGTTCAGTCAAGAGAAAACAGAGAGGGATCTCATTAATGCATATAAGTATGTCAAAGGCAGGTGCCAAGAGGATCACAGAATCACAGAATTTGCTGAGTTGAAAAGGGCCCATCAGGATCAGGAAGTCTAACTCCTGGCCTTGCACAGGACATCCTAAGAGTCACACTATGTGCCTTAAAATGTCCAAGCGCTTCTTGAACTCTCTTAGACTTGGTGCTGTGACCACTGTTTTGGGGAGACTGTTCCAGTGTCCAGCTAACCTCTGGGTGAAAAACCTTTCCCTGATACGTAACCTAAACATCCCCTGACTCCACTTCAAGCCACTCTTTTGGGTCCTGTCACTGGTCACCAGAGAGAAGCGATTACTACTTGCCCCTCCACTTCCCCCCATAAGGATGCTGAAGCCTGAAAGGAGGTCTCCCCTTGGCCTCCTCCAGCCTGAAGTGCCTGGCTGGTGCCAGACTTCTAAGGGGTGCCCAGTGACAGGAGCAGTAGCAATGAACTAAAACACAGAAAGTTCCACCTCAGCATGAGGAAGAACTTTACGCTGAGGTTGGCAGAGCACTGGAAAAGGCTGCCCAGGGAGGCTGTGGAATCTTCATCTCTGGAGACATTCCAAACCCACCTGGACACATTCTTGTGACCCTGCCTTGGCAGGGGCTGGACTAGATACTCTCCAGAGGTCCCTGCCAACCCTAACAGTTCTGTGATTCTGTGATTCGGTGATTTTAGGCCTTTCAGGAAGTGTGGCAGTCGGAGGTGGTGCACACCTGAGGGCCTGGGAGACAAAGGGGAGGTGAGGCCTGTTTGAGGGGTCCCCAGTGGTCTCTGGTGACTCCCGAGGTCTCTATACCCAGGACAACCATGTGCATTTGCATGTGTGTGTTACGCCAAACAAAAATGTCTCAGCAGTTACTAATTTATTAGTTAACTGCTGTGCTAATAGTTATTGTGTGGTGATTTTGGGCAAAGAGCCAATTATTCCCTTCCCCTCAGAGAGATAAAGATGGGATCACTGGTACAGTGGGGTCGTGCTGTTGGTAAATACAGTTCTGGTGTTGGTAAGCATTGCCAGTGCTGCATCTTGATAACCTCACTCAATAGGAGCATAAATTCTGCATATTCAGCAGCCCCTAAAAATTAGAGGGATTTCTGCCTGTCGGCGCCATTTTAAAACATGTATTTCACAAGAAAATCCCCTATTGTGCCTCTTTGCCCATTCTTCAAGAGCCTGGTTAGAGAGTGCTCCATTGCAGGAGACAGTGACAGATGCCATCCACAGATCAAATCCAGCTTCAGACAAAATCCAGCTCTGGGTGCTGTGGGCAGTGCACAGTAGCTGCTGCTGAGCCCTTGATGTGTAGGCAGGGAGGAGTCAGGCCCTGCCTGTCGCAGGGACTCCAGGCGAGCTGGGCTGCAGGAATAGCACCTGTACTGGTGCTACTGCTGGCACAGCAGTTGTGTAGATGTCTGTGACTACCAACTGTGTTCTTAAAAATAGAGATGTCTCAAAGGAGAAAATCCTGACTGGTTTCAGTATTTATAGACATGGCTGAGAACATGAAAGTTCCCAGCTCCTGATAAAGATAGAAACATTTCTGCAAGAAATTAAAATGATTTCTCGAGCCTAATACTAGTCAGCTAAATACTCAGATATCTGCAGCCTGCTCACATGGCTAATCTCTATGATCCCCAGTGTCCCATCCCACTGCCACCTGGGGCTGTCTCCAGGGAGGCTGCAGGGTTGAAAAGCCAATTCCTGTGCTTACTGGAGAGGGAAGGCCTCTTAAGTCACAGCCTTCAAGCAAGCTTTTCCCTTCATGCAGACCAGCTGGAACTGAAGGAAACCCTGTTATGCTCTTGGCATCCTGAACACTTAGAGCAGCTGGTCTACATTATACCAGCTCTCCAGCTCTGACCCTTCTGGGGACCCTGTTTGTCCTCAATAATTCTAATCAGTGTTTGTATAAAGCATCAAATCTTCACAAAGAACTCAACATGCATTTGATAAGCATAAACTTGAGTGATTACCACATCAGTGTGCTTCCCAGTGTGTTTTTTTCTCAGAAAAACTCAACCTGATCATGAAAAAGGAAAATGTTTAAGTGCAATCAGTTTGGGATTTGATCTGATAAATACAATTATTTGATTATTTTCTTAAGTATTTTTCTAAAAAAGAGAATAAAACAATTCTACCACCATACATCTCACAATTTAATAATGGTACTAAAGTTTTTGAATCATGCTAAAAGTGTTAAAGAAATGCCTTTCTCTTTTACCTTTATTCTGAGTGGAAACTTTAAAAATACGTAATGCTTTAGATAGTTTTACTTGATATCAGTCCGTTACAAAATGTTTTTCCTAGCTATTCTTCTTTTTAAGGGTGTGTTAACAGCTGACAGGGCTCTGCTTACACTCCAGACATTTCAGATAAACTCCTTTAACGTAATTATACTTTGTTTTTTCTGTAAATAAGTATCCTCAAAAAAGGATACTTATTCCTTTTTTGGAAGTGCTTAATACAGTTTAAGACAGTAGCCAAGGATATGAAAAGTCTGGATGCCTTTGCCTTCCTCCACAGTCTTCCTCTGACACCTTGGGTAAGGCACTTGACTGAGAAGCACTCACTCAAAAGCTGCAGACGTAACCACCCTCACTCAGCTAGTGCCTAATCATGAAGAGGTCTACATTCTCTAAAGCCACAAACCTAAGGACCTAAAACTCTGGACATAAAAAGAATTTATCCTGCTGTGCCATGACATTCATGTCCCCCAGTGTTTTGACAAACAGTGCTGTTGGATCTATCAGGGTAGCAAATAGTTAACCTGTATTAATTAAAACGAAGGTATTCCTCCATGAAAATGAAAATAAAACAACTAGGTGTGGTAGACACTCTCAAACTATCTCCACAGAAAACGAAGGTCCCTGCAAAAGCCAACACTCTTTTAAAAAAAGTGTGTGACATCCTTCACTCTCAGGATGGAGAAGCACCCAGATTTGATTCCTTTGCTCAAGATTTACAGGCATGACTTGCTTCGAGAGAGTCCCCAAAATCAGCAGCCTACTTTGGCTGCCCTCTGCTGCAGCTGGGCTGTTCTGCAGGGAAGAAGTCCCTATCTTCATCTCAGATCTTCTGCTCAATGGCCTTGCTGGCCTTGCAGTCATAGAAGCACAGAGTTGCTTGGGTTGGAAGGGATTTAATGACCCTCTAGTCCAAACCCCAAGCCTAACTATCCCCATCTAATCCTCAGTCTAGCTGTCATCCTACAGTTTAAGAGGGGCGGTCATGGATGTGTGAACCTCTGAATTCTCTGAAACAGCTGTTGCAGTTTCATGCATTTGCAGGAGCAGATCCCATCCTGAAGTTTACTTTCCCACATCACCACTGCATACCAAATCTAGGCACCCAATGCATTGGGTTCTGCATTCCATTTTGTCAAGAGACTTAAAATTAATTAATAAAATCAATCAGTCTGAAATGCTACAGTCACTAGACATGCTGCTAGATGCATTGCCGCAGGAATTTTTTTGTATTTCATGTTTTAGGCTGTCAGTGACCATAATATATAGGAGAGTTTACTGCAATAAAACTCTGTCCCAAGGAGCCAAGCCTCCCCCTTGGCTAATCTGTTCCCAGAGCCTCAGAGAAACAGGTTTAGGAGCTGCAGACTCTTTTCACAGCAGGACTTCACCATTCATGCATCCTTTTGCCCCACCATTGCTTCACAAGCACAGCCTTTCCCTGCAGCCATTCATGTGCTAAGTCAGGGCTGATCTTCTGTTCTGTTGCTTTTGACCACTAACATGTTAATTAACTCAGTCTCTGCAGCTTCTCCTTGTACTGATACAGAGGTCTGAATTCCCTCACTCTTCACAGCCTGTCTCAACCCTCTCTTCTGATATGGAAGCATTTGACCTACATTATGCAGCTGCATCCGTTGTCCGGTTTTAATGTTTAAAATGACATGTTTTAAGCTTTTTATGCCATATTTAGGAAGAACTCTTCTAAGTTACTTGAAATTTCTAAGTATCCTTAAAATTTCCCATTTAACACAAAAATTGGTACAAAAAGGCCTTCCCCTAATATTCCCATAAACCCATTTGGTTTTTTTACATAAAGTTTCGCCAACTTGCATGAACTAGAACTTCTCTGTATCTTCAAAAATGAGAAGCTGTAGTGCAAAGGATAAACTAAAAGAAAGATCTGCAACAATACTTTGACTTATATAATTTCATATCTTAGGTTCATTAACACCCTTCTGCCTCTTGCTGTATCAAATACTGATCCTCCCAATTGCCAAAGGTTCTTCTGACAGGGCTCTGAACCAGCAGCCTTAATGCCAAGTGGAGTTTGCTTAGGGTGACATTTGGACATCTGCAGTCATCTCTGCTCTTTTGGTGTAATCACTAGGCTATAATTTTTTCTTCTATCTTAACTGCACCTGAAGCTCACCAGAATTTCCTGTTTTTGTACAGTGTCAAGGGAGACCAACCGCAAGCAACAAGGTGACTGGGCACATAATTTAAATAAAAAATTGGAGCACAGCTGTATTAGCTCAGAGCTAGTTCAGACCTCTGTTCTGACTCATAATCATAGCATGAAGACATACCCACTGGCCCCCATTTCCATGCAAACCTCCCCCTGTGCCAAATATGCCTTCCAAGCAGCAAGGCACAGCACAGTGAGTAAAGAATGCCAGACACAGACTGAGGAAGGGAAATTCCATCTTGCTTCCTGAGCATAATCGAATGGTTGAGTACTGTAATACTGAAAAGTAGGTTCCAATGTTATGCCCATATTACATAAATAATAACAGTGTATTCATACCTCTGCTTACCTTTAATTATATCTGCAGGTTTTACAGACTTCTAAAGTACTTCTTTTGTTTCTGATGCATCCTACTTCCTAGGCAGTTAGTCAAACACAGAACAAAACAAGAAATTCATTGAGCTGAAACAATGCGTTTTTAAACACTGCAAAATTCAAGTTCCTTTTTTGTGAGTCAGCTCTCCCTCTCTTGCAGTAGAGGACCCTTGTCTTCAGCTAATCTGTTATCAGGGCCCAACAGCTGTTTGTGCATCCGCACCCCCAGTGCTGGGGTGGGGACCCAAGGGTGAGCTGGCATCTGGAGCAGAAAATGGAAAAGGCAGGGCCAGAGGGAAGAGAATTGCTTTGTTTTCCTGTGGGAGCTGCTGGGGGAGGAACCCACTACCCAGGCAGCTATACCTTTTCTGTCTCTATGACACTGGGAGCAAAGAGCTGTGCAAGAGGGAAGCAGAGATTAGCTCTTCAAATGGGAATAATCAATTTCCATTTCCCTGGCACAAGAAAAGTAGGCACAAGACCACACCCTGCAGTCCGTGGCTTGCTTTGCCTACTGGCTTGAGCTAGCACCAGATGGAAATCCAGTTTGGCTGGAAAACTTCTTCCCTCGTAATACATCCTGTTAGTGGATTGCAAATCAGGAAGTTTATATGTATAAGAGTGCCTTTACACTCATTTTGGCTAAGGACTAAGAATTAGAGGACATCAACTGTAGATGCATCCAGTTTTCATTCAAGAGAACAATACTACTTAAGAGTGATTCCTGTATATCTGTGTTACATAATGCTGACTGTGTCACTGACAAGGGTGATTAAGGAGCTATGATCTCTAGACCAGGAAGAGTCCTCCAAACCTTTTATAAAGCACAGTTCTTTTCTTCATGCAATCTCAAGGGAAAATTTACCAAATGGAATGAAAACCTGGTTCCCATCTCCCACATATACTTCCCCTGGAAGGCCAAGAAAAGATGCTTAATCCATTTCATCGTTCCTTTTATTTATACCTATTTTCAGCTTTAACCAAAACATTCAGATGGGAGGAATTAGTCTCAACACATCACCATCTTCCCAAGATCATTAGTTTTTCTGTTGGTAAAAATGCACAAGATGAAGTATTAGCTGGAAAATACATGTCTGTTGCAACTTCATAAAGCACCAGAAATGTTAAAGACTTTCATAACTTACATGACTTTTCCAGGCAAACACTTTTTTCCTTTATGTTTGACAGAGTCTACGGGATGTTATAGTTACACAGCATAACTTACCCTCTTGTCCTAGCTCTTTGGGAAGCTAGGCAGTATCTGGTATAGAGACTGACTGAGCCCTCCTGACTCTGGCTAAGCTTAACCCAGGAGATCAACTTCACAGGGCTGGAAGCATGGGTCGCCCAGAGCCCATTGTACAGCTTATAGCCACTCCACAAAGAAAATGCTTTGGACATGTAGGGACAAACCCTGCCCTCGTGCTGGGCCTGACTGCGAGCTGAAACACATCCCATCCCTGCGTGGGGGGAGAGCAGTGCAGGGGTGATCTGCCTCACACGTGTTGACAGCAGCAGTGCCAGGCAGGGATAAGGGACCCAGCCCCACCCTGCGCTCCCGACTGTGGCCCAGGGAAAGCAAACAGGCGGAGGCAGCTCACAAAGCTTTCACCAGCTGCTGCAAGCGACGTTGTAGTAGGGCAGGTCCTCTGGTGTGCCACACTACTACCAAGGCTGGTGCTTCCCTCACTTTTGTGATTAAGAAGAAGAAAAGAGGCAGGTGGGCAAAGAGCCCTTCAGTCCTCGGGGTTATTGGAAAGACATTGTGGCAGCAGTGAGGCAGGCTTAGCTTCTGTGGGCCCTAAATGTCTCTTCTGGTCCAGGGTTTCCTTCTAAAATAGGGATCAGTTATCATGAAGTTTTAAAGGAATTCAGTTTTGTACCCGCATCAGTTATCATGAAGTTTTAAAGGAATTCAGTTTTGTACCCGCAGTTACTATGTCACCTTTTCACCCAAGGAAAACTGGAATTACTTGTCTCAATGTTATTATGGTATTTCTGATAGCAATTGTACAGAGGAAACTATTTTATTATAGAATTCACCTAACAGAGTGAATATAGATTTACAGGTTAAACTCTAAGCATGTGTTGTAAAAGTTTATTTTAAAAATAATAAAACTGTCTTATGTTAATGAAGGTATTATTGTGTATTTACTCAAAAGCATAGGAATGCACTTCAGTGATTAAATAGAATTTTGGCATGTTTAAGTTCTATTTTTAATCTTGTTTGATAGAAAATTTTCATGAAAATGTTTATTTATGAAAATAAATTACAATGACATAACTGACATTACAAATGTCAGTAATGACAGCACTCAAATGGTAATGATTCTGCAAAACAGACTGTGTGTAAGACAAGATAATCTAATCTTGAATTAAACTTAATAAATAAATAAAAACTTAATTCCAACATTACAAAGGAGTTCTTAAGAGTACAAACAAATGCAAATAAATTATAAAGGCTAATTCAAGGTATTGCTAGGAAAAAAAAACAGGACAGATTGTATGTAAATATATATATATGTACATACACACTGTATACATATATAGGTATAAACCCAGGAAATACAGAATGAAGAATTTTGTATAATTTCCCTCAGTTGCTGAAAGTAAAAGTACCAATAGCACTTGATTGAATAGCTCAACCTGTGCAAGCAGTGTTGGGATCAGTACTTTTCCCAAGTTGTAATTATTTCTTACCAGCTGTGGTTCTCATTTCATCAGTGTTTCATCTTACTCCATCAGTATCTTCTAGATCAGCTAGTATCATACAATCATTAAGGTTGGACCTCCAAGACCATTAAGTCCAACCTTTCACCAAATACCAACCAATTTACCAACCATGCCAACTAAACCCTAGCACTAAGTGCCACAACCAGTTGTTTCTTAAACACCACCAGGGATGGTGACTCCACCACTTCCCTCTGCATCCCATTCTAATGCTTAACCACCTTTTCAAGTAAAGGGTGAAAAAATTCTTCCTGATGTCCAGCATGAACCTTCCCTGGTGCAGCTTGAGACCATTTCCTCTCATTCTCAACACTCTTTATTATCTTTCACAGTGGTGGCTAGATTGAGTTCCAGCTGAGCTTTCACCTTTCTCATTTTCTTTCTCTCTACATGACCCAAAGACATCCTTGTATTCTTCCTGAGTTGCCTGCCCCTTCTTCCAAAGGTCATAAACTCTCTCTCTCTTTTTTTTTTTTTTCTCTGAGTTTCAGCAAAACCTCCCTGTTCAGTCAGGTTGGTTTTCTTTCCCACTAACTAACCTTTAGGGTGAGTCACAGAGGGACAACCTGCTCCTGAGCCTTTGAGATTTTCTTCTACCTGGATCCCATTGTTTTTAAGGTGTGCAGTATGGCACTAGCAACTTACTCTTGAACACAGTAAGATAACTAAATAAAATATTCAGTGTGTAATTTGAAACATGGGATACCAAAAACATTTTAATAAAGAATATCTATAAAACAAAAGCAAGTCTTTCAATGTTTAATAGTTGCAAAACCAGAATATGCTGAGCTCTTGCTGAGCAGGAAGGGAGGCTCAACCTCAGCTTCAGGCTGTCTGCAGACCCAGACAGGGAGCACTAACTCAGCTCATGGTAAATTATTGGGTTTAAGATTCACTCTTAACCCTCCAACTTCAGCTCCTCTATTGTAACATGGCAGGGGAAAGGCAGTTTCTCTAAACATAAACAAGCTCAGTATTAGTGATGATTCTTATTGTGAAGCCTAGGGCTGTCCTGCATTCTCAGAAATGTCATTTCCACCCCACCATCCTACTCCCAATAGCCCAAGCTGTGCTTTTGTTTTTCTAGCTGCAGCTCACATTGGCATTTTTAAAATCCCAGCCAGAGCTCTGCTGCACAAGGAGCTGTTTTTCATGCCAGGGGCACTGTTGCCTTGGGGGCAGCCACACACTGCTGGCCCCTGGGCACATCATGAAAGAAGCTGGTGGGTCCAGGCCATCCCAGTGGGGTGGAGGCCTAAAGCTTCACTCTTTCAAGCTCAGTTGTGAGAAGAGCCAGGATGCACTGGGGATGTAGAGTCCTAGAGTCAAACACATGGGGCACCTGTTCCCCAGGCAGATACCTCTCAATGAGTCCTCTGTCTGTCTTCACACAGGACATCTGGGGTATGTTTTCTTTCTGCCCCAGTTTTTCTTCTGGGCTCAAGATGTATTTCAGAGCTCCACTTTCCTGGTCTTTATTTCCTCTCTGTTTTCAGTCAGGCATCTCTACTTATATGGCAAGCACAGGCACCAAAATCTGCCTGCAACTGCAGTTCAAATCTTGCATTTTGGAGGTGAGAGTATTCAAGCTGCATTTGTGGGTTTCCATGTTCTTAAGTAGAGAATGCCATCAAACCTATATCTTATGTCCTGGATGAATTATCTAACCTTTAGTACCTCTCATCCAACTTGATGCTTGTTCAATTTTTTTAAAAATAATATATATATATATATATATATATAAAATCTTGATCCCTGCACAAATTTATAAATATAGTGTTGGTATCTACCTCCAAAGAAAGTTATAGGCAATGATTTGGGCAACTCCACTCTCAGATTACAGGTTATTTTTAATCCCATCCAGAGATTTGTAACTCTTTTCCAAGTGCGGGACAGGGAATCCAAGACCATAACTGTGTTTCAAATATCACTCCTGGGACCTAAAATTAAATATTGCAAAATATTTTCCCAAATGTTTTGCCTAGTTTTTACCACTGACATTGACCTTTACTTTAAATTACTTTTCTCTAGTCCTCATAGTTACTCGTGAAATAAAAACAGCCATAAGTACATTAAGGAGAGTTTTCATTCACAACTCGAATATAGTCTGTGCTCTCTTAATATTGAAGAAGTAATACTTGGCGTGGGCTTTCTTTTCAGCCAGGAATGCAAAATACCAAACCCACATGCGGGCTGAGCCATGTCGCATTATTGCTTGGGACCAGTAGATGGCAACCACCCATTGCAGTGTCACAGGTAAGTGAGAATTGTTCAGGTAGGGGATTTATTAGGTGACAGCTTGAGCACGGGAGGAGAAAGCAGAACTTGTATTTTTTACTCCTTCTTATACCTCTCCCTTTTAGAAGGGAGCAGTAGGTTGCCCTTTTACATATTCAGTTTTAAAAAATTATAATTGTGACAATTCATTTGACTAAATATCTTATGGCTGCTCCTGACTGCTAATATCAGTCAAAAAAAGGACAAGACAATGGGGAAAAAAAATCCAAAGCAATCAGACTGCCTTAGCTTCCACAGGAATAGCCTCAAGTTCTTCTTCTTATTAATTAGATTCCTTATTACTTTAGGTGGAAGCAGTTAGAACTAAGTAGCAATGAATCTGGGATCGGAAACAGACTTCCCTCTAGGAATTGACTGAGGCTATTGACATACCAGTTAATTAATTCTGGTCATATGAGGAGCCTTACAAAAAATTTTTTGACATGATCAAGTTTGAAGAAATTCTAATTTTTTTTTCCCTACAACATTGGATTAAAAGTTATTCATTTCTAGGAGCAAGAACTGTAAAGGTTTGAAAAAATCTGCTCCAAGAACTTTGCATTAACACTTCAGAACAGAAGTTCATTCATTAAAACAGGAGAAGAGTTAGAGAAATATATCTATAGCCTTACTAGGATACTTAACTACTTATATGAAATTTTCCTTTAGCGTTGATTTAACCATATTTAGTGCCTTTGTTTTTGTTATACATAATACATGCATTGATGCACATAGAAGTAGAGTGTCAGTAGTGCAGGAAAAAAACCAGACCTTTGGACCACTGAAGGATTCCAGCATCGCCTTTCAGTGTCATTTGCAATTTAAAGACGAGTACACTACAAATAGCTAAACCAGACAAGAAGAGCACTGTCACTCAGTAAAAGCAAACCAAAATACTTACTGAGATACCTCCCTCCAAGTTCTCAAGCACTTTGCAAAACATTAACTTGCAATGTGTTAATTTGCACCCTTGCAGTACAAGGTGTATGTTTATTGTCAGAACTCACACCTTTGCTGGTAAAGTTTAAAAATCCTGCTTGACAGATAAAGTAGAAGCTTTTGCTTTTGTTACAGCTACCCCTTGATCAGCTGTGAACTTCTATAAGAGACTTTGAAATTAGGAGTAAACCAGCTGGCATCCATTTCCTAGTGAATACTAGAGAGGTGATATTAGAAATAGATTCTGAAATCTGTTATAAAACCCATCAAACTTTTCTCATTATTTCCTTAATCTAATAATAACAACATTTATACTCTAACCTCCCCTAATTTTTAATAATATTTGAGAACTTTTTTCTTCTTTAGAGAACCTGAAGTCCTTTAACCTGATTATGAAATTTGAGCAACTTTATTTGCCTTAGCATGAGAAATTACGTGACTTGTATATGTTGTATTTTTTGTGGACTCATGAATTTTGCTAAGGATCCAAGAGTTACCTTGGACTCTTCTTTCAGTCCAAAGCTAGTTAGATTTCTTTTAGATTTAGTTGAATTTTTTTTATTTTTTATTTTTTTAGAAAAGGTAAAGAAATAGAAGTCTAAATGATTTAGAAGGAATTTTTAGAAAAACAATAGAATTACTGCTCTGTTTATAGTTTACTGCTCTGTTTATAGTAACACTTTTTTTAGCTCCAATGTTTGAGAAGGACAGATAGTTTTAAAGATTCAAGGTCTGTGGTTTCCATGAAGGGCAGAGAAAGTCTCACTTCTGGTACTTACCACAACAGAAATTTGCAAGAGACCTCCAAGGACAGTAACTCTCCAGTAAAGTTTAGTTTATGTTCAAAGGAATCCATCTGGAAGTTCCCTTCTGCTCAATACTTCATACAAATCACAGATCACAAAATATACCCTCATGCACTGTAACAGTCATATTTATAGCAGAACCTTCCTCAAGGTCTGGAATTTTATGGGTTAGATATCTAAGTAAGGGTGAGGGGTCTTCAAAAGCTTTTGCCATCTGTCACATGTGCATTGAAATGTGTGTATGATGGGCTGTGACGAAGTGCTCTGAAGATTGTGGCTGGTAGGAGTGTGCATACCTTATGTACAACGGTAAAAATGCCCTGGAAAAATGTAATTGTAGCCTTTTCATGCTTCTCCTCTTGCACTTTCTATAAATGGAAAAAAACCATATTGCCCTCTACTACTGTGCAAAAAAAGTCTCTGGACTGTGCTTAGCAAAACATTTCTATTTCTTTGATTAAGACACTGGAAATGTTCCTTGTTGAGCAAAGCCTTAGCATGTTGGCCAACAGATTTGTTTGTTTGATCATAATACAGTGTAGAATGAAAATATGATTGAGCACTGAATTGAGTGCTTGAACATTGGCTTTTAAGCAAATAATAAAGTACAGATTTGCATGGGGACTTTGCTTACCTGATCCTTATGTCAGAGGCTGTTTGAAGCATGACTTAAAGGAGAGATAAACAGGATCACAGTCCAGTAATTTGCTGAGTGATTTTGAGGTGCTGCTGGATACTATCCATTACCATTACTTGCAGTGAGATTCAGGGATAATCAAACTCAGTGTAATAAATTACCAAGATAAGATGGGTAATGAAAGAATGTGAAATGCAGAAGATAAGTTGGTGTTTCTCAACAGCCTTCAGCATGACTTTTGTAATTATTAACTAAACCTTAAAGCCTAAGGTAGTCCTTATTCAAATGCCTTAATCCTTTTTCAGATTCTCTCCTTACAACAACATCTGCTCACATTTCCACAATGAGGGAAAGGAAGACAATAGATCCACTTCATTCGTCCACAGATCTGAGAGAAGGGAAGGAGAAGTTAAGACTGAGACGAGAGGTTGGCCTGATTAGCAGTGTGTCATTAATTGCAGGCACCATGATAGGCTCAGGGATCTTTATGTCCCCTGAGTGGGTACTACATCACATGGGGAACCCTGCCAGCAGCCTGCTGATCTGGGCAGCATGTGGTCTCCTGGCCATGTTTGGAGCCTTGTCGTACGCTGAGCTTGGAACAATAATTAAAGAGTCTGGAGGAGAATATATTTACATTTTGAGGATTTTTGGTTCCTTTCCTGCTTTCCTTTTCGCCTACACTTCTGTCATCCTGGTGAGACCAGCTGGTTTGGCAGCTGTCTGTCTGAGCTTTGCTGAGTATGCCATTGCGCCGTTCTACCCAGGATGCTCATCTCCGCAGGTTGCCATCAAATGTACAGCTGCTGCCTGCATCCTGATCTTAACTATCATCAACTGTCTCAACGTGAGGCTGGCAACATCTGTTATGAACATTTTTACAGCTGCCAAACTCTTGGCTTTGTTGGTGATTGTGGTGGGTGGATTGGTGCTGCTTGCCAAGGGACAAACTCAGAGTTTTCAGAATGGTTTTCAAGGCACAACTTCAGGTATTGGGGCAGTTGGAGTGGCATTTTACCAGGGACTCTGGTCCTATGATGGATGGAACAACCTAAATTATGTGACTGAGGAGCTGAAGAAGCCTGAGGTGAGTGAGTGAGTGAGTGAGTGAGTGAGTGAGTGAGTGAGTGAGTGAGTGAGTTGGGTTTTACTTAATCCTGCTGCTAATATGTTTGATTCTATCTGTGATTGTGTTAAGAGTGGTAATCAAGGGATTTACAGTGAGGGTGTTGAGACACACTCACAAGAGACATTGTGGAAGCCCCATCCCCAGAAGTGTTCAAAAGTGGCTTGTGTGGGGCTTTGAGCAACCTGATGTAGTAGAAGGAACCCTGGCTCGTAGCATGGGGTTTAGAGCTAGATAATCTTTAAGATCCCTTCCAATCCAAACCAAACCATCTTGTGGTCCTATGAAAGTCCTAAAATAACCCATTGACTAGAAAGAAATTATTAGGCAGCACTTAGATGCTTTGGGTGAAGTTTTGTCTTAGTGTTTAGAGGATCTCACTGTAGACACCTAGATTTATTCAGAAAAGCACTCACTACTGTAATCCATAAAGTATTCTTAACACCATGTATTTCCTTAAATACTTGATCTATAATCTGTGCTTTAGAGAACTACTTTATCTGTCCCTGGTGCATCAAGGGGCAATTTCAGAGCAAGCCAAACCTCATTGGAAAGGGAATCTAACTTTGTGAATGATCCCTATCTTTAAATATTTATATTTTAGCACTGTGCAGTCTGTGCTATAGGAACTGGAGTAGCTCACCTGCATCTCACATCAGCCTTCGCTGCGCCATATTACCCATTTTCACAGATCAAACACTGCAGCAGTGAACAACTCTTATTTTGTAAGAGTTGTATGAGTGCAGAGTTTATAGAAAGTGCTTTCTACCAGTGCAGCACACTAGATCCTACAGATTAAATGAAAATACACAGTTAAACATTAACCTAAATGGCAGCAAAGACCCCAGGATCACTCTCTCCCACAGGATCATGAGCACTGATATTCAGGCCCTTCCAGAGTGGAGACACCACTATTAAGAATTGCTGTATCTTGTTCTGTGTTGAGAATGGGGAATGCAAAAATTTATATTTCAGGTTCTTAGATGCATACAGTTGCCATTTCCTGGTATTTTCAGTTGTGTAAGACACTGTTGATTTTATTGAGTCTTAACATGATCCTGTGGTGTTCTAAGACACAATCCTGCCACTAATAAAAAATAAATATTTCCTTTCTAGAGCAAATCTCCTTTGAGATCAACCCTGTTTTGATTTAAACTGTGGAGTAGTTAAACGTGTTGCAACACACACTGGAACTTTGTCCATGGCAGTGAGGTATTTATGGGAAGATGCAGCACACCAGGAGACATAACACACTAATAGCAAATAAATCAATAATAAAATAATCAGGAACTATGCAAAAGGCATATTGGGCAGCTACAAATCAAAACATTTTTATTAAGAATTGGTGGGATTTTTTGTTTATTTTGTTTGTTTGGCTGTGGGGTTTTTTAGACTAAGTTCAGAACTGTACAAGACTGATGTGAAAACTGGCATGTGAATCTGGATCTATGGCTTGTTCTGGGTTCTTAGGGAGTGGAGGAATTTGAATAAGAGATGTGGGTGGTGGCAAAAACAAAACAAAAAAAACACAGTGCAGGCATAAATGTGCTAAACCTAATGCTGCTGTCATCCCATTTCCAGGTGACCCTCCCCAGAGCTCTGATGATCGCCATTCCTTTGGTTACGTGCCTGTATTTGCTGGTAAACGTGAGCTACTTGGCAGCCATGACTCCCTCTGAGCTGCTGTCTTCAGGAGCTGTGGCTGTCACCTGGGGGTGAGCTCTGCGTGGGGCAACACGGGCAGTGCAGCCCTGAGAAACACTGGTTCCCTCCTGAGTTTCAGGAGGTTTGAATGTTGTTCCCAGAGGGGATGGCAGCACTGTGTTGGTCAGACCAGGAGGAGCTGTCAGGCCATGTTACAGAGAAGAAGAGGGTGACAAAGATGCTCAGAAGGCTGAAGCACACTATCTGGGAGAGCTGGGACTGTTCAGCCTAGAGGAGAGAAAGTTCCAGGGAGACCTTATAGCATGTTCCAGTGCTTAAAGGGGCTACAAGAGATCTGTAAAGGAAGTTTCTACAAGGACATTAGAAGTAGAACAAGCAGGAATGGCTTCAAATTGAAAGAGAGTAGGTTTAGCTTAGACATAAGAAAGAAATGCTTTTCTGTGAGGGTGGGGAGGAACTGCCACAGGTTGCCCAGAGAAGCTCTGGATGCCCCACCCTTGGAAACCTTCAAGGTCAGGTTGGAGGGGGTTTTGAGCAACCTGGTCTAGTGAAAGGCATCCCTGCCCATGGCATGAGCTTGGAAGAGGGTGATTTTCTAGGTCTGTTCCAAACTGTTCTATGATTCTATAATTCTATGGTTCTATGAGGCCAAGGCTGACCTTCTCCATCTGGCCATGGTCTCCAAGGTGCCTCTAGGCTGCCAAGATGGCACATTCCTTACTCCCCAATTCCCTTTGTTTACACTGGGAACCTGTAGCTCCTCCCAATTCATGTTTTACCTCATGGAAAGTGTCCATAACGGAGAGGTGAAGGTCACACCAGGAGCATCTCCCCACAGGTACTGGGAATGCAGCCAGGGTACATATCCAGACTTGGGGATTAAGAAATGACCCACATTTTAGATATCTCCAAGGAAATGGAGACAGCATTGTGCTGCCCTGCTAATGCAGAAGCAGTGGATTGAAAGTGAGACTGGAGTTAACTGGGTGAATCCTGTCCACTTGGCACCTGGAATTTAGAGCAGACCCGAGTCTTTTGTCTCAGTTTCTCTCTCTGTGGGGAAATGGAAAATGGCATTGATCTCAACAACACCTTTGAGAGGTGTTATACACAGGTTGGGTAGCCTCTGGTAACTGTAGCTTCAATTGGCTTGTGTTTTTCCAGAGCTACACAGAACAATTTTTACCTTTCATCAACCTGAAGTATTTGGTGACATTAAACAGTTTCTGTACAAGACAAGGAATTTAGGAAGAGAAGGAAGGGACCATCATGGGAGGTATAGACACCATCAATGATCTTCCAGCAGAACATCCAGCCTTAGTCTAAATACTTCCAAAGACACAGAATCCCTGATTGCCCTAAATCATGCCCTAAAAATGTCTGGCAGAAATGATGACACAGGTTATGTACTGCTCATCCTCTTCTGGAAAAGTCAGCAGCAGCTTTGCTTCTGTGCGCATTCCACAAAATCTCCCACTTGAAGATCTGACTGAACTCTTGCTGGATGTGTTGTCTAATAGCCTTTCACATCATTATGAGTAAGAGATTTTAAAGGTCTAGTGCTTTGTTTGAGCATGTCTCAAAGCCTTACTAAGCTGCAGTGTCATGAACTTTCCCTGCACTTCCTTTCCCATCATTCCTAATTAACAAGTTATTTGTGAGCTTCCTCCTTTGTAACACATCTCCTTTTCCTGCCTGATTAACCTTTTCACCCAAGAGAGCAATTCAGGAAGAAATACTGAACTAGTCACAAGAAAGCTGGACACTCAAAGGCTGGGGAACAGGTAGGGAGCCAGTCTGAAGAGGGGGTGAAGGTTGTGGCTCACAAGCAAGAGATGCAGCTATTCAGGCCATTAAGAAGGAATGGGAGGAGTATAAAGAAGCCAGAGGAGGACTTGTCATATTTAAATGCATTTATTCCCTATAAAAGAGGAAAACTGCCAGAAAGAAACATTGTTCAGTGGTGAGAGGTACAGCCACAAAAGGAGCTCAGGAAACTCTTCCCAGCGTTTCTTTGATGACAATGATTTAACAGCAACCACAGGTTTCAGTTTGCTTGTAAATAAAGTGGTCTAAAAAACATTTGAGTTTTGGATTTTTGCCAGTTAGATAAACAGAGTGTTTGTGTATGTGATAGTTACCTCAAATTACCAGTATTTATTACTCTATTAGTACTCTTAATGTTGCTTCATTCCAAAAGACAATCTTCACTTTTAGGTGAGAAAATTATCATTCCTTCAAATGTTTGTCTTGAACTCTGTAACTCTGCTAATTCTTCTGTTAGGGAGAAAGCAAACCAGAAGTGTCTGAACGTGTTGTAGAACCAAACATCTGGAACTCAAACCATTGCTTTGGCTTAAATCTGATTCACAGAAGAGCAGAAATAGGTGCATGTGGGATTAAAGGATTAAAATCCTATGCATATTCAGGAAGAGGTTGTAATGCAGAATATTTCTTCTAGTGTGATGGGAATAGTTTTTCTGTGATTTCCAAGCTAATATTATTGGTTGTGATAGCAGTATCTTTAGGCGTTTTGCCACAGCATCAGTACATAAAAAAGGTGTTTTTGCCTGTTGTGACCGCTTTGGTGTTGTACACCATTGCAGTGTGGACAGAATACATATAGCAGAAAGAAAAGCTGTCAGACAAGACAAACTTACTAGTCACTAAATATTATGGGAATTACAAGAAGACTTTAAATCATTAGAAAGACTTCAGAAAAAAAATCAGTATAATACAGAAATAATGGAGGGACGAAACCTGTCTGGTTCTACAGTGAATATTCAATACATCTATGAACTCCTCTTATGCTGTGAACTCTTTCTCACCTCAGGGACAAAGTCCTGGGCAGCTGGGCATGGCTCATCTCCCTGTCGGTGGCCCTGTCTACGTTTGGTTCATCGAATGGCACGTTCTTCAGCGGAGGCCGTGTGTGCTACATTGCTGCCAGGGAGGGACATATGGTAAGCACAGAGAAAGGGGTCTGGCTTACTTTGAGCAACTTCACCTTCTTGTGACACTAAAGCAGTCAGGAAAACACTGTGTATGTTCAACTGGCAGAATGATAGCTCTTCAGATGGTTTGTTCCTTGCTCAAAGACCTTAGTCCCCATCTCTTTCAAATGTAAGATATATGTTGTCTCTGGGCTTTCTTCTTCTGTCAGGTGATTTCAGAAAAATACATATTCACATCTAGCCTGAATTTTAAGAACAGCTTTGAAATGAACCAGTCAAATACTGCTGCATTGGAACACCAGGCACAGGGTGACAGTACACCTGCCAGGGAAGGGGAACCTGGCCACGCTTATGTGTTGTAAGGCACCTTTGCTCACTCTGGGAAGGTAGCCCAGCACCAGCCAGCTGCCTTTGCACGCTGTACTGACTACACAGGTTGGTCTCAGGGGTGATCCAGCCTTCTCATGGGTAGAACAGCTTAGATGTAGCAGATATCTCTGCTCTTGAAGCTTCATAGCAATTACAAGGTGACACCAAGTCTTACATCTCTCCTAGCCTGGTTTTATCATTGGTTAGGTGGGCCAGATCTAACCCAGTGGAGGTCAGGCTGCTGCAGATCCCTTCTCCCCGGTCCAACCAGTAAGTCCAGCATGTCCAGCATGTATTCCCAGTAGCCACACACACACACAAACACAGGTATGAAACATATTTATGTACACACATACATATATATATAGCTGCATATATACATACAGAGACAGCAGGGAACACAGAACTGCACATAGAGACTTACCTGGGGCTCACACAAACACCAGCACTAACAACACCAAGAGCCTTTGATTTCCTCTCTGGCTGATCAGGGGTCTATTAGTGAGAAATACATATAGAAACATATGTACAGTGTGGGTTTCTCCAGTAGCTGGGCTCAGATACTCAGCCCCTGGATCCCAGTACCCCCAGTTGCTGCTACCTGGGCATACAAGCCCCTGAGGTTGCTGCCACATCCCAGCTGCTGATACAGACCTCCTCATTCACAGGTACTCCTCCAAACACACTTAACCACACTGCTTCACAAAGGAGAAAAAAGGCTTGGCTGCATTTATCCTCTCTTTTGAGCCTCTTGTATTCCTCCTGAATCTCTCTGCTTTTTTTGGTCCTTCCTACCCACAGCATCTGGCATTTCTGTCCTCAGATGTGAAGGCACTGAAATAGGTTGCACAGAGAGGTTGTGGATGCCCAATCCCTGGAAGTTTGAGGCCAGGCTTGATGGGGCTCTGAGCAGCCTGGTCTGGTGAAAGGTGTCCCTGCCTGCAGCAGGGTTGTTATAAGTAGATGATCTTTAAGGTCCCTTCCAACTCAAATCATTCCATGAATCTTTGATTCCACACCAGCTCTGCTTCTGGTTCATAGCAGGGAATCTTTTATGCATATGAATGACCAGATTGGTGGAGATGACTGGACTGGTGGTGGCTGGTTTTGGTGGTTCCTGGTTTTGGTGGTTACTGGTTCCTCAACTTCTCTCTCTAAGGACAGTGTCTGCTCTATCCTGGCAAGCTCTGTGCTGAGAAGTGCACAGATGGTCCGAATCTGACCATACTAGTCTATGTGCTGAATGCTTATGCCATTTCTCAGACACTCATCTCTAGCAAAAGTCCTTGCATGATATTTTTGTTGGGAATTAAAAATAAAATACAATAAAAATGCAATTCAATTCAATTTTAAAAGCAGCCTTTCTCATTAAACTTTCCCAATGAAACAAACAATAAAGAAGCTACTAGTCCTGAAAAAAAATCCTGGTTTAATTTGTATTTACATAAATATAGGCCTTGTCTCATTTTCCAGTCATTCCAAGAGAAGTCAAGTCCCAGAGAGACATGACAGGGCAGAAGAGTGCCCATGGCAAAAGATCCTGATGGTGGTCAGGAAAGCTCTAATTTGACTCATTCTGTCACATCAGTAGTTTGAAAACCTCATTTTGCCTGCTCAAACTGAGCATATTTGATATGAAACCAGTGAGACACAATAAAAATACCCTTGAAGGAGTTTTCTGTATTTACAGTCCTTGGAAGTTGGTCTGGTTTTATATGACACTTATTTGCTGATTATGAGTGGCTGTGGCTGCAGGCAGAGCTCCCACCCACAGCTGAGGGGGGTGAGTAAGGACCTCTTAGTCCATCATACCATGACACAGAGTTTTGCTTTGTTTTTCAGCCAGACATTCTGTCCATGGCTCACGTGAGATGCCTCACGCCCTCCCCTGCTCTACTGTTTACATCTGCAATGTCTTTAATAATGATAATATCAGGAAGCTTTACCAGTATCGTAAACTTTTTCAGGTATGTGTGTGTAGGGTTTCTGTTTGCATCCCCTGTGCTCCTGGGTTTTACATTGTTTATAAGTATTTTCTTGCATTATCTTTTTGAACCTGGGCTATTGCTTTCTAGCCAATACTGGGGAGACTAGGAGGGAAGAAAGAAGAGACTGGGAACCAGCACCTACCTTTGCAATGTGTGAATGCTCCTGTCACTAGAGACTTAACTGAATGTGATTCATCCCCACTGAATCAGCAATGTTCAGATAATTCTAAAGTTCTCATTGTTTGATCTAGAAAGGAAACTAATGGAAGAACTGCTAAATTTATATCAATATTCACCTTTTTAATTGGAGATACGAACATCTGGGATCTGCAAGGCAGGACTGACATTCCTGGATTATCTCACCCCAAGTTTAATGCTGTCTATTTTCTTTCTCTTTTCTTCCAGTTTTGTGGCATGGCTTTTCTATGGAATGACTATTTCTGGGCTCCTGTATTTAAAAATCAAGAAACCAGAACTGCCAAGATCTTACAAGGTAAAGTAATAACATAAAACCCTCAAATATTTTCCTATATTGTTCAAATGACTAAGAGAACATTTAGAGAAAAGACTGAGCACTGGCGGCTTACAGATTTAATGTGGTTGTCCTTCCTTTTCTCATTTCAAGTTTTGTATCAGCAAAGCCAACAAGGGGTGAGATAGTGTGAACATACAGGCATAAGTCAAGGTTGAATTCTCTGTCTTGATAAGCTAATAATGCCCTGCCTCCTCACTATGAAAATATATCTACATATCCTCTTTTTTCCTAAAAGATTTAAGTGGTATGTGAAGGATGATTCTGATCAACATTGTAATCACCTGTTTATGGTCACAGACTCTGGGCAAGTTGCTTGGAGGGGAGATCAGGCTTAAGAACTTGGCAGAGGTAAAAATAACTTAGGTGGAGTGCCCCAAGTTCTTGGAGATGACATGGAAACAGGTTTGTTCCCCAAAAAACAGATAAAAGGAAGGAAATCAGGAGTCAAGTGTTCTTCCCCTGATGCCATGAGTGAGCTGATTTGCAGTGCTTCCTCGGTGACTAGGGTTTATTAATGAAGACACAAGCCACCCTCCTTTGAGGAAGGGTGGCTTCAAATTGAAGTTTAAATGTTTTCTGATCAGGCTTGCAGAAATTTCCTCTGAGATTGCCTGTCCACTTGTCTATCAACACATGGTTAAAACTTTCTGTGCAAGGGTGCCAAGATACAGTTGATTTGAATACAATTGCTGTGTGTTTTGTCCACAGCTTGGCTTTTATAGATGCAAGGTAGTAGGGAGAGCAAGAACAGACCTGGGATTAAACCCAGTAGTCTGCACCTTCAGGTCTAGGAGGGCAAGAAAGACCAGGGGTTAAGTTGTGATATGGTTTTGTAGCTCTTGCAGGGATGTTCAGCCTTGGAGTGGGGGTATGCTGGGAAGCAGGATGTCACCATTAATTTGTATTTCTAGGTAATACCTCAGGTTGCAGGAAGGTTTCATCTAAAAAGCCTTCTGCAGAAGTTCCAGGGTTGTCCAGACACAGAGGCCCAGAATTACATGACTTCTTACGCTGATGTTTTGCTTTCACAGGTTCCAATTATCATCCCCATAATTGTGCTGGTGGCAGCTGTGTACCTGGTGTTAGCTCCCATCATTGACCAACCCCAAATAGAGATCCTCTACATCGTCCTGTTCATCTTCAGTGGCATCATTTTTTATTTCCCACTGGTTCGCTTTAAGTACCACCCTCGCTTCTTACAGAGAGCCACTTTACACCTCCAGTTGTTGCTGGAAGTTGCTCCAACTACCAGGGATGCAAATTGAGATAACATCCTCCCTTCACATGGCTGGCTACACTTCATGGTTTGTCCCAGTGCCTTGGTTTTCAAGGCTCAGAAAATATTCTTCTGTAAAGAGCAATGAGTAGAATGCGAGTGACACTAAGTGTCCATGTGAGATAGACTACAGCTTTGATTCCTCATGTTTCCCTAAAATTCTGGAGACATGTTTTTCTTCTTTTCAGCTCTGCCTTGGCATTACATATAGATTCCAAAGGAATATGTGCTTTTGTTTTTTTCATCCCAAAAAGGGCTGTTTCTCAGGATCTTATCTCATATTTCAAGATAAAAAGCATCAAAAGATAGACAATTAAATATTTTTCCTATAGCAGGCTGGATGCCAAAGCCATTCCTGGCAATGCCTTTAATTATTTACACCTAGTTCTGCTCACTGTGACTACAGAGTTTCTCAAATCAATAAAGGAAAGGCTCTCCATAGCCACAAGAAATAAACTCTTTTTCACTCACATATTCACTCTGGGAAGATTATGCTTCTTCCAGCTCCAAGTGTACAGTCACAACAGTCCTTTCTCTGTCTCAGAAATCAACCCACATCTCCCACAGCAAGCCCTCTGACATGAGACAAGAAGTGCTTTAAAGCTCTGTCAGTTTCCTTAGTTGAGAATGTGCTTGTTATCTGGGATCCATCCATTCATGATGTGGGCACAAGCAGCATCACTCGAGTACAAACATTCACCCATGTGCTTCCTGTGATCCCCCCGAAGACAAATAACTTCTTTTGTGACAAAATGAGGAAAAAACAAAACAACTAAAAGCCTAGAGCATATGTGCCAGCAAGATACTCTGACTAGGAAATAAAGAAACCACATACATTAGGAGAAGTGTGGCCAGCAGAGCAAGGGAACAGTCTGTCTGTTTGGACTCAACACCTGAAATCATGCATCCATGCTGTTCAAGGGTAGAGTTGTGAAGACCACCTTCTTTGTAATGGAAACTCAAGAGCAATGGTTACAAGCTGTGGCTTGAGGTGTTCAGGCTGGACTTAGAAGAAATGTGCCCCATGAGGGCAGTGCAGCCTTGGAGCAGTGTGCAGAAAGGTGGTGAGATCTCAGTTCTCACCTTTCCTACCACAGCCATTTCCATCAATTTTTATGATTCTAAAGGCATAGCACAAAAGTCACAGGCTGTGTTCTCACCCACACGTCACTGAAGTCACTGTTGTTTCCCATTATCCTGAGGTGCAACTGGTTTTTTCCTGCTCTAGGGGAAGGAGAGGTACTATGAGCTGTTTTCTTCACATTTTTCCAGCTGGTTCCAGGATGGTACCCATCCTGTCAGAGACTAAAAGGGTGTAGGAGTTAGTCGCTAAAATGCCTTGTTAAAGTACTGAAAGTTAACTTTCTGTCAGCATTCTTCTATAGAACCTGCTACAATCCTGCTACCTTTTACCTAACTTGCTGTGATCCTAGAACACAGGTCACTTGATCCTCCCTTTTCCAGCCCATCTCAGAGCTGTGTATCTGATTACAATCTCATTCTGCAATGTCACCCCTTCTGTTCCTCTGAGTGGTGATGTGAGCAGCTACAGGGATGTGCCAACAGTCTGTTGTTTCCAAGTGTTAGGTATGATAATGGATAGCCCAGATGCCACTCATCCAAATCCTTAGCTTAAATAGTATTTAGGAGGATTTCCTTCCACTGATTTTTAGTGGAGTTGCCAACAAAGGCCAATGAGGGAACAATTTTTCCTTCTGAATCTCCTGACAACATAAAATTTTTTGGGATGCATCTCTTAAAGGAGAGGATGTTCTTAAAATGACTGATGAGGTTAGGAGCTCTAGATTACCTTCCTCCCACTGCCCCAGGCTCTTCATCTGATGTCAGGGAAACTTAAAGGAGCTGCATCACAGCTACTTACCTAAAAATCAGAATAATACAATTTCTCTGATTATGATTTTTTTTAAACAATCTATTTTCTACCTATTTATGAAGCCTATCACATGGGGCTGTGCTCTTATAAAGAACATGAAAAGACACAGCACTTTGAATAAATAGCCTTTATGTGTTACGGGTTTGTATATGGATATAAGGGAACTGAAAAGTTGCAATTATCATACTTTGCACCAATTTAATTTTCTATAAATATTATTGTAACAAGATGTTCTTTTTTTATTTATTTTGCCTAGGATTTTCAGGTGTTTGTAATGCCAAAACAAGATGCTGAAAGCTCAGATAATTGCAAGATAATTACAATAAAATGGGCATTACAATAAAGTGAGTTAATGTGTCTGTTTCTGTTTTTCATCCAAGAAAAACAATTCCATAGAAATTTTACTGCATGATCATAAATAATCAGCATCAGGCTTATCTCTCCTTGGTCAGAAGGTTTAACAACATGTGTGGGTGTTTATATGTGTGTACATTCATTTTTCAAAATGATTGCTTATCTATTCAGCCCCAGGATATGTAAATTGGAATCTCTTTTTCCTTCATGAGACATTTACAATAGAAGTGCCAGGAAGAGGCAACACATCCTTACCATTCATTCCTTTGGCACAGTGACAGTGTGACAGTGTTCAGAGTTCTGTACCTGCAGTTTGTACAGGTTATACTACAAGATCTTATTGGTCCTGTGTTTCCAAAGCTCCAGATCCCTGTGACCTCTGCTTAGACCCTTTCTTCACAGGCTCAAAGGAAAAATGGACTATCAGCCTTGACCTCAAGATAATTGTAAGATCTCTACTTCACCTCAAGACCCTGGATATAATTGAGTCCCATCCTTCAGCTGTCAACCTGCAACAACCAGTTGGTAGTTTTACCTTAGTGCACAAAGCTGAATGTGTTCTGGACTTTTTCCTGACTTCCTCAGAAGCATCAGAGATGGATTACACTTGGGGACAGTAAAGGACAGTCCAGTGTGTGTGACAGCACAGAAAATCCTTCTTTGATGATTTTCTAGTCAGGCATGCTCATATGCCCAAGTTCCAGTGATTGCCATAATTTGTGGTTGAGGACAAATTTACGATTGGGTGGGACAGAGCAGAATTCATGATTACTTTGATTTTCCTCTGTTCAAGAAACACCGTTCGCCCACTTGGACTGACTGGATTTATCTGAACAGTTTTCAGCCAGTGTACAGGCTTTGGTGTTTAGTCTCTCCTGCTCTTTGTTGGGACACAGGGAATAAAAAAGACCTCACTGGACTCTCAGCAACGTTAACTTGCTCTTCAGGTCATCACGCTTAGGGGATCTTCTCTCTTCAGAGACTGAATAAATACAGTCAGCTCTGGGAATCACAGACCATTCCAGTGTGGGTTTAAGCTCCCCTCTGGAGGTCTCCTGTCCAACTTCCTTCTTGAAGCAGGACTATTATCATGTAAAGTAGGTTACATGTGCCTCTGTCTCTTCATGTTTTGGAAAACACTGAGGATGGAGAGACCACTATCTCTCTGCACGGCTCTCTGGATAAAGAAATTTTGCTGAAGTCAATCTGAACATCTCAAGCTGCAGTTTGTGGCTGTTGCCTTTCCTTGTATCATCTTCTGCTGCCAAAGTGGTTCCATCCATTTTGTAACTCTCTTTCATGGACCTGTAGGTTGCTGTTATGTTGCCTCTTTTTCTTTTTGCCAGACTCAACAAACCCAACTCAAGAAGTTTCTTCTTGTAGGCAAAGTGCTCTGGACTTGTGCTTGGGAGCTCTTTGTTGAACTTTCTGCAGTTCCTCTGCTTTCCTTTTGAACTGGGAAGGGGTCAGAAAATTGAATGCAAAATTCCAAGTGTGCCCTCACAGGTGTCAAGTCTACAAACACTGACATCCCTTGGTCTGCTTAGGTACATTTCATAATGCAGGCCACTATGTGTAACCCTGTCAGTCAGTCACTTCAGTCAGTCAGAGAGCTTCAGTCGACTCTGTTGAAGGCAATGGCAAACCCTTACCTTGTACAGTTTGTGCCCTTATTAGAGATTTTTTCTAGGCTGTGATAAATCCAGCACCAGGATGACTCAGTCTAGCAGTGCAGGGGGATCTACATCTTGCACTTCACCATTTATTGATGAGTTAGTTAGATACTCTCAGGGTCTTTGTGTATGTGACTCATTCCTCATGAAGGAGTGCTTTTGCTAAAAAAGGATGCACACCCACGGTTGTACAATAAATGGGTGGTCTTAGGCTTGTGAACTAGCAGTGAGATTAATGGCTAGTGAAATAGCCCATCTGTTTTTAAAATCAAGCTACCATGCCATGTTTGTCCTCAGACACATTGAACCCTATGGCTTGAGTGTCTGGCAGATAAATAATCATCTCTTCCTTCTAAAGTCTGGTCATCAGTTGTTATTGTTTAATTTCATGGTCTATGCCCTGGTTTCCATGCAGTGATACAAAAGGCAACAGGGGAGCTGAGAACAGGGAAAATGTGAAGTAGCTTGAAAGAGAATTACTGTACGTACAAGTCTTGGCTTGCCTGAATTACCTATGTAAAATCCAGACATGGACAACACCCAAACAGCAAAGACGCGTGCCCAGAATTTTTGAAATGACAGAATAAATTTATTTTTTTTGCTAAGCAGTAATTGTTTGCCTTTCTGTTTGTACATTCTGGGCCTGTTCTTCAATTCACAATCTGTTTTTCCCACAGCATAACTGTGTCATTAACAAATTAGAGCAACGGTTCAGCCTTTTTTCATTGCTCAGTCTGTGGTTGCCAAACATCATCAACAGGTCATGATTCCTTTGAAGAGATGGCACCAGAATGCACACAGATTTCCAGCAGAAGGTACAGGCCCTGGCACAAGGAGCACCACCAGTTCCTGAACGAGGAATCCAGAGCTGTCTCCAGGATCTCTCAGGGTATTGGATCTACTGTCCTCTTCCCTTTGCTGTGGCCTTACTCCAGGGCTCTGTGTGCTCAGTTTTCCACTCACATCCCACCCTGTTTAAAGATGAGTTAATGAGACTTCAGCCTGTCTGAGCTGTTGTGAATCTCAGTTCATTCATATTTGTAAATAAAAGGAAATAACCTCATCTTGCTGAAGAGGAAGCCGGAAGATCAAACCATGCCAATAGTTTTTCTTTCTAGGCCAAGCAGTCCCTCTTACCTATACTTTTACAATCTATATTGAGTGTGCAGAGGCTGCAGAAAATCTGGAGGGTTTCATTCTGGCTGAAGGGCCAGTCTGGTAAGTTGTACCAGCTGAGCCACCCTTTTGGTGTCCATGGATGTCTCCCAGTCCACTGGGGCCATGTGGGCACTCTGCAGGCAGGAGCCATGCTTCATGCACAGAGACAAAGTACAGAGGAGCATGGATGTATCTGAGCATGCCCAGGGGATGCTGCAAACCATCCCAAGCATCAGAGACCCTGGGATCCCCAAAACCTTGGAAAACACTGAGGATGGAGAGCTGCACCTCTTGGAACAAGACAAAACAGTTGGACCAGATCCTGCTGCAGGTTCCTACCAGGATTCTCATGCACCAGGCACAAGCATGACCATGGGTAAAGAAGCATATGGTCACTATTCATCCCCTTGGAGCTGCTTGGACTTGACTGTGGAAGCAGAAATTGTCCTTAAAAATCCCCTGCAGTCTTCCTCAGCCTCCCAGTGGGTACTGTCACCCCATGTCCTCCAGAAGCAAGCTTTCCCGCTCCTCCTGCCCTGAGGGCTGTGCTGACATCCTGCCCAGCAAACTCCTGCCTGTTTTCCCACTCTTATTTAGTTTACTTTGTGCTAAAAGTAACATTCCTCATATTTACAATGCAAAATACCCCTCAGACAGCACCAAAATACTTTACTCGGGAGCCCTGTATATGGACAAAGGACAGGGATTGGGAGATTTGGAATAGACATTGGCACAGAATAGACATTGCACAGCTGTGGGCTGAAACCTCAACATTGGCTTCCTTAAAATCACAGAATTATTTAGGTAGGAAAAGACCTTTAAGATCATTGAGTTCAAGCCACCATTAAACTATGTCCCTAAGCACCACATCTACACTTCTAAAAAATCCCTTCAGGGATGGTGAGTCCACCACATCCCTGGACAACCTGTTTCAATGCTTGATGACCCTTTCAGTGAAGAAATATTTCCTAATATCTGATCTAAACCTTCGCTGGAGCAACTTGAAAGCATTTCCTTTCATCCTGTCCTTGAAAGAAGAGACTCACACCTCATGACAGCTCCTCTCAGGTAATTGTAGAGAGCAGTAAGGTCTCCCCTAAGCTCAGACAAGTTCCCATGTCTGCTATGCCCAAGGCAGGTGAGGGAGTCCTGGGAGCCGAGGGGCAGGGAGGTGACATCGCAGGGGACTGCGGGGCTGGCAGGTGGCAGAGGCAGTCAGGGCTGAAGAGCTCGGCAGCATCAGCCTCTGTGCCCACTGCGGCTGGCCAGGACAAAGAGCTGAGACCCAGGAATGGGGTGGGTCGTGCCCAGGGAGCAGTTTCACTGTGCTGCAATGGACAGCTGCATGCAGCCCCTGCCCACCCAGAGCCGTCCTCCACTTACAACAGAAAAGCTCCTTTTGGGGCAGCAGACCGAGTTCAAACACCTCTGGCTGTACAGACAGATGCCACCTCTGGAGCAAGGGAGAGGGCAGTCCTGGGGCTGGAAGTGAAATGATAAAAGGGAACAAGTCCTTGCCTCTGCAGTAGTGGCCTCTGGTTCCTGTGTCCATCTGTCCCTATGTCTGTACCCCAGGCACCCACAGTACAGCACCCACCAGAGCCACCTGCTGAACAGCACTGGGGACACTTCTCCTGGGCTGCAGTAACTGCCCTGGTGTGATAAAAGGGCCAGGAGACCAGCTCCTTTTAAAAAGGCCTTTATTAAGCAGCACAGCTCTGGGGCGGGGGCCCAAGGGGTTGCGCACACCGCCACTGCTCCCACTGGACACCGCAGAAGAGGAGGATCCGTGCAGCTCTGTCACTAGGACAGAGCTCGTCCCCCTTCCTCACAGGAGTCCCGTAGTCTAGGCTGTCATCCCAGTTGAGTCTCCTCGAGGTTATGTCGGCCTCTGGGAAGAAGTCAGGGGACTCCTCTGGGTCTTCCTTGTTAGATGGTGCTGGTTTTATTCCTTCCCTTTTGCGTGGCTCGTTGTTTTGGGGTTTTTTCCAGTCTGGGTGCATCCCATAAGTCTCTGGTCTCTCTCGTTTGCATAAAAGTCAGTATGTCATCTTCCTCCTCAGGACTGTACAGCAACTTGGGAAAGGGATACAGTGTTGCCATGTGGGAGTCTAGGAGCAGTGGGGGCAGTGCCTGGCTGAACACAGAACAAGAAACGCAGGG